CATCGGAGAACAACCACCGACAACGTTGAAGAACATGTCATACATGGAGGTCTCTATCTCGATGGAGGTCGGTGAGCATAATCCATTTGTTTTGGTGCCAAATATTTGGGAGAGTATTCGAATAGAAGTGTAGTCCGCTTTCCATGATCCTGCGTTGTTCTTGACAAAGTACTCAAATATTCTTAGTCTGACAATATGCAACAAGGTAGCTCAGTTCCAAGAGAAAAAGAGAAGGAAAATAAAGTCTTTTGATATCACTCCCAAACTTGAACCTGTATGGATTGAATAGCCAGCATCGGCAGCCAAACTAGCAGCTCTTAAAGCGCTATGCTTCGGCCAGATTATGATTCTTTGGCGGAATCAAGATGTCCTTGACGAGCAACCTTTTGCTTCGATGTAGAGAAAGGCTGGACGATTCACTGGAGAGGTGTCTAAGACGCCAGAGGGCATAAAGCAGTCCATCCATTCGTTCCAATAGGGCCTTTACCAAGATTGGCAGCTGTTCCGGCAGCACCACATTTGTTTTTTCCACCAGAGATGGCAGCCAACACACTGCCACCACCCGCCATAGAAAGATCCACACTACCACAATCTTAATTTGTCCCAGAGCAAAGCTCAGCAACCATTTGAGCGGTTGGGCGCCGCCGCCATATTCGCTCTACTTTTCGATGTTCGGCGTGGCACCTATAGCACACATCATTGGCACAACCGAAAGGATTTTTGAGTCATGAAAAAGGCTCAAGCTCCTTCCAGCCTTTAAATCGGCCTATAGTTAGGCTCATCGCAGCATCGTCTGTTCCCTTGATTACAGAAATTTCATAATAGAGCAGCCCTAAGGGCGTATGCGGAGACGGCGCACAACAGTTCATCATCTCGTCGTCGGTTCTAACATTATCGGTTGCATCGCACAATATTGCAGTCATGGTTAAAACCTCTTCTCAACCATAACTAGTTGTTGAACATATTCACTGCGACACGCAATCTGCTCCGCAGCAAGACCTTCAATATGGTACCTATTATGTTCATGGTTTAGGCGAGAAAGCGAGATTGAAAGATGAATCCGAAGAGGCCTGTCTATAAAAAATAACTCAAGGAAAAATACATACGTGCTCGGAATCGAAGGCCTCCCCAAAATAGGAGGCCGATCATAAAGTATAATACTCATTCGATATTGCAAAAATGGAACAAATATTCGAATATTTGCTGAAGGAAAAACTGCTTCGATTGAAGAACGGGCCAAAGAATAGTCAATGGAAAGAGCTTTTGTAAACGATATGGAATTTTCGGTCATACCGTTGAAAATTGCATTGCATTCCAAACACGGTGCAAAAGGCAATTCGTAACACCCTAAAAATTTCATGGGAATGCTACACGCCGACACCGAAACAACAACACATATGGACGTACCGTGTATCGATTCCAAAGCTAAAATATAATAAAAATATGTACAAATATTGTGTTTTGCGGAAGTCATAAAATATTTTTACCAAAACCTACAATTACTTTTAAAATATGTAATTGTAGAAAGTCATACATGTTTGATAATAGTCCATCCCTGTGATGCATTAAGTCAATGAAAGTCTAGATTTTAACTCTGCATGGAAGAAAGTAGTAACATCAGTAAGAGCTGAGTAAGGAATTAAATATACAATGCAAGAAAAAATTACCAACAATAAGTGTTAGCCAGGCAACAAATACAACTATCCAAAGTTCATGACTCACTCAATTGATAAACCAACTTGCCAAGTAATGCTAAGTCTAGCCAAATCTACGGCTGACTCAATTATTAATTAACTTGTCAAAATGGCTAAATCTATGGATATCACAATTTATTAATCGACTTATCAATCAACGATAAGTCTAGCCAAATCTATGTCTTATACAATTTATCAATTGACTTGTCAATCGACGGCTAAGTCTAGCCAAATCCACGATTTATACAATTTACCAATCAACTTTCTGATCAACGGCTAAGTCTAGCAAAATCTACAACTAATTCAATTTACCAATCGACATGTCAATCAACGGCTAAGTCTAGCCAAATCCACGATTTATACAATTTACCAATCAACTTTCTGATCAACGGCTAAGTCTAGCAAAATCTACAACTAATTCAATTTACCAATCGACATGTCAATCAACGGCTAAGTCTAGCTAAATATATGGCTTACAAAATGTATCAATCGACACTCTAATCAACGGATAAGTCTAGCCAAATCTACGACTTATACAATTTATCAATCAACTTGCCAATCAACAGCTAAGTCTAGCAAAATCCACGGCTTATACAATTTACCAATCATCTTGCCAATTAACGACTAAGTTATCCAAACCTACAATATGTATAAATTATCATTCGACTTGTCAATCAACGGTTAAGTTTAACCAAATCTACAACATAAATAATTTATCATTCAACTGATTGGTCAATCAACGGCTAAGTCTAGCCAAACCCACAACATATACAAATTATCAATTCTTAATTTCATATCACAATAAGTTCAGGACATATCATATATGAAAATTTAATTATAATGTCCTATTAAATTCATACACATAGTTAGATGATCAATTTATTTCAAACATGAATAATTAAATCCTTTACCGTACTTATATAAAGCTAACCAACTCAATTATCACTGAATCGTGAGACTTGATTCAATCGGACATATTTTATAAAATTCACCATAAATTCCCAAATGTTATTTCAAAGATAAAAACTTCAATTATTAATTTGAATTATATTCAGAATATCATCTTAACTTAGATAGTTCATTAAATTTGAAACAGAGTTGTTTTTATTGTAAAAATTACAAAAACTCATTTTACACTTAAATGGGATAAACTTGATCTCTAATTAAAGCTAATACATATTTTTTATATTCCCAATTAAAAAAATATACAAGAATAAGCTCCAGAAAGAACATAATAGTAGTTAAATATACTAAACAAACATTTCGTCAAGAAACATGATGTGTACCTTTAAAAATTTATATAAAATTCATATTATAACAAAATGGAATACAATTAGTCTATAATTACAGATAACACAAAGTTCTACATTTCACATGAGAAAGTGTGAAAACAACGTACAAAAGTTACAAAAAAATTCATTGAACACTCTGTAGTGTTTTTCTTCAAGAAAATAAACGTATAATTTTAGAAAATCATATAAAATCTATTTGTCTTTCAAATAATTCATATAATACGTCAAAATAAAGATAAAATCAAGAACAATGTAAATATGGATTTAAAATAGTAATTCTATGGTTTAAATAAACGAAATAACTTAAAATGATGTACACATGTTGTGAAATCGAATTTCAAGAGTAAAGAAGAAGAATAAATGAAAACTTACTTCAAAATCACCTCAAACTTGAGTGGGGGGAATGGTGGCGGTTAGGGTTTTCTAGGAGAGTTTGAATGATGAAATGAATGTTAAATATAAGTGAAAATGTAAGCTTTCATCTATAAAAGTTGAGTTAAAATTGTATTGGCATTTTTTAAAAACATATTTGAATTTACAACAAACCTTTGACTAATATTTTAGCTATAACTCTTTATTTTGGATTTGGATTGACTCATCATTTGTGTATATGCTAAAAATAGCCAGAGCGAAAGAGGAATGTAGTATGTATGTAAAATCTGGAAATATTAGACAATACGAGGACATGCACACTTGTATAGTAGCTATCGGATGATCTTCCCCAAATGCCAAATCAGGTTGTCATTCCATATCAAGGCCAACAACAGTCGGGCTATACCAGCTGCAAAACAGAAGAACAAAAGCTCTCCACTAATCAACTTCAACCGCTTTCTTTGCCACAATTGCTAAAAGAATTATAAAATCACACATAATGAAATATACCACTAGAACAACTCCAATCGCTAGCCTTTCTACAAAGCACAAACAATATTCTACTACTATTGAATTTTAAAAACCAAACAAATGAAAACTTTTAGGCTTCCAAAAACAGCAACCCAAAAACATCATACATCATTCTAACTCAATTTGCTCATATTATAACCCCAAAATGTTGATGTTATTACACATAATATTTATTACACTTACTTCCTCACAAACATTAATAACATATATATTCAAATATCAATATTTCCTGCATTATACTTTACTGAAACTCTTTCGATAAAAAATTGACTCACAATATTACTCGTATTCCCCTCTTGAACAACTCACGATTTGCTAATCCCCTATAAATCAACACTCGTCCAATTAATTAACTTCTTCTTCCTTACCCGCCAAAAAGTTGTTCTACCTTTTGCGATGTGATTGCCAAATCTATATAAATATTAAAATATTAATTGTCAAATACAATTTACAAATCAAATACAAATCGATCAAAATGACGTAAATGGCCAGCAAAATACCCACAAACGTTCTCTGATTCGGTCAATATCCAAAGAAATTTCACCTCTGACCAATTGCATTGCTTCAAATATTTGGTTGTGTTACTCCATAAATTGACCATTTATTTCATTTGACCTAATTGTAATTTTTAATCATTCACTTCCAAAAAAATTTACTATTTAAACAATATATCTATCAAAACACTCACCATTTCCAAGATAAACATATTTTCTTTTCTGCCCAACTTTTATGGAAAAATACATAATATTAATTGTTAGGATTAATGGAATAAACTATATTTCATTCTTTACAATTATGGTACAATATTATATATATACAAGAGATATATTAGGTAGGGATATATATATCTAAATATATACAATATATATCAATATATATATCAACATCCCTCCTTAAACTCAAGGTGGAATGGTGGAACCCAACTTGAGTTTGCTCAAGAATGACTGAAAACGGCCGGGAAGATGAGGCTTGGTGAAACCGTTGGCAGTCTGATCAGCAGAGGGAATGGGAGACAAGGAGATGTTACCATGAGCAACGTGATGACGTACAAGGTGACAGTCGATCTCAATGTGCTTCGTACGCTCGTGGAAGACATCATTCGTCGAAATCTTCATGGCGCTCTGACTGACGCAATGAATAATAGTGGCAGAGGATTGAGGCACTCCGAGATCAGCCAGCAGCCAACGAAGCCATAGAAGCTCGGCAGTGGTGTTAGCAAGAGCTCTATATTCAGATTCTCATTAGACCGGGAGACAACCGTCTGTTTCTTGCTGCGCCACGAAATAAGCGAGTTTCCAAGGAAGAAGCAAAACCCGGTGGTCGAGCGGCGATCAGAGGGATCTCCCGCCGAATAAGAGAATACCAAGGAAGAACGAGCTGAATAATGAAGCCCATGAAGGAGAGTACCTTTGATGTATCGGAGAATCCGTAGATTAGCAGAATGATGAGTCGTCCGAGGAGCAGACATAAACTGACTGACGATATGGACAGCATAGGCAATATCCGGTCGGGTGACAGTCAGGTAGATCAGACTTCCCACCAGCTGATGGTACAGAGTAGGATCATCAAGGGGGACGCCGTCCATCGGAGTAAGACGACAATCAGAATCAAGAGGCGTAGGGGCAATCTTGGAGTCAGTGAGACCGGCACTAGACAGGAGGTCGGAGGCATACTTGGCTTGAGAGAGATAATATCCGTCGGAGGTGTCGGAGATCTCAAGTCCTAGGAAGTACCGAAGAGGCCCTAGACTCTTCATCTCAAGGTGGCGGTGTAGATGACTCTGTAGCTTAGAGAACCTGATGCATCATCTTCCGTAATGATCATGTCATCCACATAAAGTAATAAAACAGTAATTTCAGCTGACCCACGTCGAAGGAAGAGAGCCAAATCATGATCGCTGGAAGTAAAGCCAAGCAGGAGTAGAACAGAGCTAAATTTCGAAAACCAAGCTTGAGGCGCCTGTTTCAAACCATATAGGGCACGACGAAGTTTACATACCTTGGAAGATGTAGGAAAGCCAGGAGGAGGAGACATATAGATGTCCTCGGATAAATCACCATGTAAGAACGCATTCTTGACATCGAGCTGGTGCAGGGGATACCAACGAGCGGCAGCGATAGCGATAAGACAACGGACAGAGATGAGAGCAACCGGGGCAAATTTCTCCTCATAGTCTATACCATACTGCTGGGTGTAGCCTTTGGCTACCAAACGCGCCTTGTAGCGCTCAATGGATCCATCAGAGTGAGTTTTGATTCTGAATACCCACTTGCAGCCAATAGGTTTCTTGCCAGAGGGAAGATCAACCATATCCCACGTATGAGTTTTCTCCAAAGCCTGTAACTCCTCAGACATAGCCTGCTGCCACAACGGATCCGTATATGCCTCACGAAAGGACTTGGGCTCATGGTGGGATAAGGTGCCAGAGAAACAGTGATAATCAAGTAAGTGAGTAGGAAGGTGACTAACCCGAGTGGAACAGCGAGGGCCACGATCAAGGTCTGAGGTCGAAGTAGTGTCAGGCTCTGGTGATGATGATGTATCAGAGTCGAGAGTAGGAGTAGGCTCGGGGATCAGCGTCGGTTCAGGAGGAGCAACCGGGACAGCGTCAGGAGCGGGGGACGGGGCCGTGTCAGCGGAGGGGAATAGTGGTGGAGAGGACAAGGTAAAGAACGGAAACGAACGATCAAAGGGGACTTGAAAGTGGGACAAGGTAGAGAATTTAGTATCTCCCAGAATGTGACATGACGAGAAATACGTAGCCTATTGGAAATGGGATCCCAAAAACGATAACCCTTATACTCTAACCCGTATCCCAGGAAGCAACACAGACGCGCGCGAGGTTCCAACTTAGTGCGCTCATGAGGAGGGAGGACGACAAAATTGACACAACCGAAAGGGCGGAGAAGACTATAATCAGGACTACGATTAAATAGTCTTTCAAATGGACTGACATTACCCATGACAGAGGAAGGGATACGATTTATTGTGCGGACAGCAGTGAGTGCGTCTTCCCCCCAAAAGCGATCTGAACAAGAGGCAGATAAGAGAAGGGTACGGACTGTATCGAGGATATGACGGTGTTTACGTTCGGCACGACCATTTTGTGGAGAGGTGTATCGGCAAGAGCGTTGTACAACAGTACCCTGATCAGATAGGAAACGAAGGAAGGAATAATCGGTATATTCAAGAGCATTATCTGTGCGGAGAGTTTTATGGTGGAGGGATAAAGAAACTGGAACGATAAAGAAACCAACCCGGTGGACCCAATAGCAGATTCCGCAGCTGCCACAGTCTGAAGGATTAGTACCTCCATCCCATTTTTGAGCCAATTCCAGCTGCTGCTACAGCCTGGCCTTTGACCACTTTCAACCCCAGGATTTTTTACCTCTCTTTCTGCCATTGTTCTCTCTACTAAGAATACTTTTCCCTAAGGAATGGGAAAAAATTGAGGCTTAGCGCGGGTCCCGGGCTGAGCGATTGGGTCGATGAGCACAACAGAATGAAGAGGAATTTGTATTTCAAATTATTTTAGGAAAGTCCATATAAATAGATGGAATTTCAGAGCGCTTCCGCATAAAGTAAATCCATGTAAAACGAGAATAGTCATCAATAAAAATCACAAAATAATGAGAATCATTCATAGACACAGCAGGCGAAGGTCCCCAAATATCAGAGTGAACTAATGAAAACGGTGTATCCGCAATGGAAGTACTATGAGGAAACGACAAGGCAGGTTGTTTTCCCAACGAACAATCCACACAATTAAAAGACTCAAACTTGACAGAACCCAAACGACCCTGACTAATCAAAGACCTGAGTTTATTGGAGGATGCCATGACTGAGACGATGATGCCACTGAAGGTAGGATGGTGTAGAGGTGGTGGCAGCCGAGATAGAGGTACGAGGGAGTTGGAGTGACTCAAGTTCAAATAAGCAGCCCGTCTTCCGGCCCTTCCCGAGGGTCCGCCCGGTTTGCGCGTCCTGAACCTGCACACCAGTAGAAGAAAAAATCATTGTGAGACCTTGATCAACCAATTGACCAACGGAAATCAGATTTAAGGTTAATTAGGGAATACAATATGTTTCGGGGAGGGATAAGGACGAGGTGGATGTATGTCCAGTATGGGTGATGCGCATATGGGTACCATTTGCGGTAAGGATAGGAGGTAGGGATGGTGCGGTGGTTGTCGCGGTCATAAGGCGTATATCAGAGGTCATATACTGTAGGCAGAATCAAAATACCAATGAGAGTTACCTGATGTGGTAGACATGGCATTATTGGAAGATAGAACCTGTTTAAAAAAAGCCTTCGGGTCCTGAATCATAGGAGGCGCAGGCGTGGCAGAGGCTATGACAAATGAGGTACTAGACTGAGGAGGTCCATGAATATGCCGAGGCTCGTAGTTACTACTGCCAGAGCGAGACGGCCTACTAGGGCAATATTGTATGGTATGGCCTAAAACATGACAGTAGTGACACTCCACCTTGGGGCAATGACCGAAGTCATGATCAAAAGACTGACATCGTTTGCAGCGATGGGAACGACTCTGAGTAAGAGTTCGGGCAGTGACCGCAAGAGCAGAATCAAGCAGAGGAGCCTTGGCTAGGTGGAGACGAGTTTCCTCAAAAAGAATCTCCTGAATAGCTGCATCCAAGGTAGGAAGTGGGTGCCAATTTAACAAAGAGGCACGAACTGCCTCATACTTTGGACGCAAAGCCATCAAGACCTGAATGAGGCGAAGATGATTAGGACTGATCTCAGCTTGATCCAACCGATGCCAAAGGGGTTGCACTTGCGCAAGGAAGTCATTGATAGATTGTCCTGGTTCCTGTTTTAGATCATGGAGAGTGCTCCATAACTGATAATAGTGTACCAAACCAGTAGCACGGAAGCGGACTGCCAAGAAATCCCACGCTGCCGGAGTGGAAGTAATGCGCAACCAAGTGAGTATTTGATGGTTCTTACTGTCCCAATCCTCCAATTTTTCAATATAAGATTCAACAACTTTGGCGGTAGGCGCAACTTCTCCTATAGAAACTGGAGCAACGGGAGCAACTATATCCCCCCGTAACAATCCGCCATAATTTTCTACCAATCAGAAAGTTTTTCATCGATTGTGCCCACAAACTGTAATTATCTCCGGATAGGACAACATTTATCGGAATATGGACATCCATCTTTTCCATAAAAAATTTCAAGGGTAGACAATATCGCAAATCTCAAGCCGAAAGCCAAAACGATAGAAACACGAGCAAAACTGAATCGAACCCGAACCCCGGAAAATCAGACGGATACAAAAAACTGCTCAAACGGAAGAAGTGGGTATACCATCCTGGAGGAAATTAAATTCCGAACACGATGGTGCAAAGATCGCCGCGAACGGCCGCCACACGCACCTCCACGCGCCGGCGAGGCGTTCGCCCGAAAATCTCGTCGGGCGCGTGTGAGGCTCACGCCCCGCCGTTGGCCGAGCTGTTCCGGAGTCCAGCCGGTCTCGTGGCAGCGAGCACGGTGGTGGTGACGGTGACGGTCGGCGATGGTCGGAAAGATGTGATCTGGAACACATGGGTTGTTTCGATTTGATCAGAAAAAATTATGGCTCTGATACCATGTTAGGATTAATGGAATAAACTATATTTCATTCTTTACAATTAGATTACAATATTATATATATACAGACAAAGATATATATCTAAATATATACAATATATATCAATATATATCAACATTAATAATACTTTTTTTCTAAAAATACAATAAAGTGACTTTTCTAACAATAATGTCCGATCACCAATCATCATTTACACAATTTTAACCGATTCTAAGTAGAATCTCCAAAACACAACTTTAAAAAACACAAAAAAAAACACCACCACCACCACTTAACATGTCCTATGCAATTTTTTCTACTATTAAAATACAGTGTAGCATGAGCACTAAGTATATATATATTGAACCAAATAATAATTTTAGATTCTCTACCTTCCCTCAGACCATCTGCAACGATCGTATCTCCACAAATATCACTATTTTAAAAAAAAAATTATAAAAAGATACTCACTCATCAGTGTCTCGGAAGATATTATACTTTTGCCATTGTTACAATGTAATTGGAACATTATGCATATAATTTTTTTTTAATTTATATTAAATTGTTTTTATATTTTAATTTTGCAAAATTTTATGATTCATAAAATTTTGTATTATATAAAAATGATATCAATATTGAATATATTGTGTTAATTCAAATTTAAATATATATATATAGATATAAATGTTGTTTGATTTTATTAAAAAAATAAATATTAAAAAATAATAATAATAATAATATAGAAATAAAAAGTAATAAAAAAATTTTAAGATGAGGTTTTTTTCTTTTTTTTCTTTTTGATGAGTATAAAATTAAAAATAGTATAATATATATATATATATATTTTGAACCAAACAACAATGGGTTAGTCCGTATAGATAGTTTTGGAATTTTTAGTATTTTTTTTAAAAAAAAATCATATTAAATAAAAATATTGTATGTTTGGTTGTATACGATATTAAAAAAATAATAAATAAAATATTATGATATTAAGGGAGGTAGATAGAAAGAAAAAACTATCATATATTGTTGATGTATTTTTTCAACAAATAAAAAGTAAAATTCAAAGATATGGAAAATATCTTTAAACTTGATTAATTAGCATCTGAGATTAGGAATCTAAACACTGTACAGTACATAAAGAAATTAACGGGAAATTAAA